AGCTAGTGCTTTCTCAGGAGCTCAGGGGTAAAGAATCCCCCTGCCAATGCAGGAGATGTGGGTTTGATTCCTGAGTCAGGAATATCCCCTGGAGAAGAAAATGACAACCCACTCCAGTGTTCTTGCCTGGAGAATCTCATGGACAGAGGAGCCTGGTGGGCTACAGTCCATGGGGTCACGAAAAATTGGACATGATGTCCTAAACAACAACAGTGCATGCTCAGGATAGTCTTTGAAACAGAACTGTTAAGTCGCGCTTGGATCAGGTACTCAATTCACAAATGTCTGTTGAATAAGGAGAAATTGGGCTGACTGCTCTGCATTAAAAATAATTAACACTGTTAACTGTACTCTTGAAAAGAGCATCTAATACATATTTCTACAGGTGATGATTTCAATAAGGTTTTACCTAGTAAATTTATTATATTTCAGTGTTCATTTTATCTGTTAAATCTTGGCTTTAGACTGGGAGTCCATGGGGTTGTGAAGAGTCAGATAAGACTTAGCAACTAACACTTTCACTTTCTTTAGATTCAACACTATTTCATAGCAGCAAAATGTAGAAACACCTGTAGCAGATACAGAATACTGGGACCAATCCTGAGAGAAACCATAAAAAATGGAAACATTTCCTGGATGATGTAATAAAAATCAGGTCAGAGTAAATGCTTTCTCAAGGAAACACTATGCTGAGCTCCGATGCAAATCGAAGATTAAAGTGTAGGTGTTAAAATTACTTCTTCAGGGAGAGTTCAGTCATCTTCCTTAAGACAGACACTACATCTGAACAGAGGTTAACACAGGAAGTACATTTCACCAAATGATTTTATTATGAAAATCACTGCAGTTGAGGATACTGGACAATAATGGTGGAATTTAGATGCAAGTAAAGGCTATCATGGATAACCTACCAATTATGCATTTTAGCCCCTAAACAAAGAATGAGTGGCTTACAGTAAATACAGTACCTTAACATCAAGAGTTTAAACTTAAGGCTGTCTGTATATAAAGTTGTTTCTGAATCATCTTCATGAAATACTGAGGATAGTATTTGCCAGCTGACGTAGATGAGTTTTAGAGCAATGGATATGCTAATACAGAAGTAGCATGAATGCACTCTCAGCATTTTAATACAGAGAAGTTTAATTCTAAAGCCTACACAAACGTGCTTTCCATAGGTTACCCTTTTCTAACAGGCAAATCCGTAAATGTTACTCAACTATTCTTCAAAAACTTCAGAACTGAGAAACAGATCAGTGAAGGATTAGAGTATGGTTAACTGCTCACTCTAGTACTCTTACCTGGAAAATTCCATGGATGGAGGAGCATGGTGGGCTACAGTCCACTGGTTTGCAAAGAGTCAGACATGACCGAGCGACTTCATTTCACTTCAACTGCAAACACTGAAGGAAAAAACCATTTATAGTTATCACTCATTTAAACTACACTAATGCCACAATAAAGCTTTTATCTTCAAGACTATTAAATGTTCATTTAACTGTTAAATATAGCTCTTTCTCTAAGATCTTTAGCTGGAATCTAATCCAGTTGTTTGGCCTGCATAGGACCAGCCTACTCAAGAACTCTACAACAAGCAGCCATCCCCTTACTTGCCAAGAGGTTTTGTGAACATCGTTATAAGGGTCGGTTTACACGAAGGATGCTCTGTGCTGGAAACCTCCATGAACACAAACGTGTGGACAGTTGCCAAGGAGACAGCGGAGGACCACTTGTGTGTCAACGACCGGGAGGGAGCTGGGTTGTATATGGGGTGACCTCCTGGGGATATGGCTGTGGAGCCAAGGATTCCCCTGGTGTTTATACCAAAGTCTCAGCCTTTGTACCTTGGATAAAAAGGGTCACCAAACTGTAATGCTTCATGGAAATGTCAAGAAGATAGTATTTAAAGAATATGTTGGAAAATTTCCAACATTGGCATTTAACCAGAGATGCCAACTAATGGGAGTGGAGATCTATGTTTTTGTGTTGTGCTGATAAAAGTGATGTACCTCTTTGCTGCTTGAGAACTCATGATGTGAACATTCTGGTTACAGATACCTCAGTGTAGTGATGACTATTCTTATTTAGCACTGTTGTCTACCCAAATTAGTTTTATGGGAGACTACATTCGTTATTCTGTCTTGTCTCAATCTCTCAGCATTCTCCAGAGATTATTGTATATTGATTGTGCAATAAGGCTGTTTTTATATGTATTTGGATTGAGAACTCCTTTGTAACTGAATTAGTATGGTATATATTCATATTAAGGGCCTACCTTTGATATAAAAAAATACCCTTTACTACAGTTAAAATAAAAGTGGCAGTGTTTTCTGTTGATGTGATTTTTAAGCTGATTTTTTTCCCTGAAGGTTGATAAACAATCTCCACAGATGAGCCTTTCTGGCCTTTCACAAGTGAGACAAGTATAGAATCCAAAAAGGTAAAGCAATCCTATTACAAACAGACTGGACTAGGAATATCATGTCACAGTACATTTCTGAATGAATCCTTTATACCAAGGCACTATGGCAACTAGAGAAAAACATTCTAGCTACCTTGTATGTTGCTAGCACAATTTGGCATTCCTGATGACATTAAGAATATCTTCAAATAGTGTAATACATAACCTGATTCATCCACTGTGTACTTGCCAACATTTATATGGCTACTTTTAATGACTTCAGATTTGCTGCTTGGTAAAACAAAATTTTTCTTCCTTAGCAGCATGCTCTTTTCTAGACTGTGGTGTAAGAGTGCCACCTATTGCAACTCTCTGGTAACTAACTGAAACCTGCAGATTTCCTAAGACAGTCCTGATAAGAAGTCCGTTTGCTCAGTCGTGCTGACTCTGACCCCAGTTGACTGTAGCCTACCAGACTTTTCCGTCCATGGCATTTTCCAGGGAAGAGTACTGGAGTGGGTTGCCACTGCTGCCTTCTCCAGGGGATCTTCCCGACCCAGGTTTCCCACATTGCAGGCTTTATCCTCTGAGCCACCAGGGAAGCCTGCCATCCTGACACAGTCCCATCTAGTAAAGACTTTGTTGAGTTGCTGTGTCCTCTTCTTTCCAACTCCAGGGACTGTAGCATGCCATGCTCCTGTCCTCTAACTCACTCAAATTCATGTCTGTTGTGGCACTGATGCTCACGCATCTCATTCTCTTCCTAATAAAAATACACAATTAACAATGCTTTCCTGTCTGTAGCATGGGAAAGCTCTAAAATAACTGCAATATTTAATCCATATGCCAGTTATGTACTAGGTGACTATGCACCTCATTGACAGTTTATAAAAGGCAGGTAAGATTTTATAGTATCTCTAGTTTCCAAATGAGTTAACAAGCAGAGGCCAATGAGACACTTGGGTTTTCAGTCCAAACTCCAGGAGAGTCACAAGGAAGACAAGGGAATCTCTTTCCACCTAGTTTCTCAAAGGAGTAAGGGATAGCTGCTTACTGTGCAGCCTTGCTGGAGAATGAAATGGCAACCCACTCCAGTATTTCTTGCCTGAGAATCCCATAGACAGAGGAGCCTGGCGGGCTACCGTTTATGGGATCGTGAATCAGACTTGGTGCTGCCTTTCTCTTATGCAGCCTTACAGGGCATTCTTGGTGGCAGTACAAAAATCTGTCCCAATATGTAGTTTAAGGAATTGTGTATACAAGGGATAGACGCATAAAGACAGGTAAAGAGGTGAGTGCAAAACTATAGAATTAAGAATGCTAAGCAATCCTTTTATTATCAAATCCAATTTTTAAATTTTTTATTTTTTTTATTTTTATTAGTTGGAGGCTAATTACTTCACAACATTGCAGTGGGTTTTGTCATACATTGACATGAATCAGCCATGGAGTTACATGTGTTAAGTAATCCTTTTAAATGGCTGATCATGAAGGGATCTTTTTATTTCCTTTCTCTTCTGCATCATACTGTGTCCTTTTGTAAACTGAGGTATGTAAAAAACTGGTGCTAATCTGAAAGTGCTTTATAATTTACTTTGCAGAATTGCAATGCCAAGCCATATTTTTCAAAACACATTTGATAAAGTAACTGTATAAGCATTTACATTTAGAGATGACAGAACCATAGTGCACACATGCATGAGGGCCTGGGAAAAACATACAGTGCAGGTGAAGAAAACTGTCACTAGTTTCTCAAGGGCTATCCTTGTAATTAAACTGCAGTGCTGGTGTAAACATTCATAGTGGAATTCTAACTGTTACCGAGTCCAGCCTCGCGCATACAAAATGAGGTGTTGGGGCAAGGAAGAGACTTAATCGGGGAGCCGGCAGACCGAGATGGCAGGCTAGAACCTCAAAATAACCATCTTCTTGGGGTCTGGATGCCAGGTTCTTTAATAGATCAGAGAGATGGAACCAATTAGGAACTAAAGTCAAAAGGCAGAATAGAGAGGGCAATACAGTGAGAAGTGAAAAGGTCTCCAGTCTTGCAAATAATATCTAGCCTTCAGAAGTGTGTTAATCTTTTCTATTCACAGGTGAGCAAGGATTTCCAGGCAAGCCATTGAGTATGATTATAAAAGCCAAGCCAAATAAAATTTCCAACTTAAGAGTCATAATTGGCTTCCTCCTTACAACTAGACCAGAGACTGGTTAACTTAAAAGGTCAGGTAACAGGTTATCTTCAGTTTCCCTTCATAAAATATAACCTTTATTATAACTTTTTCTTATTAAATGACTTGAAGACCCAAGTGTCAACTGCACATGCTATGTGTTCCCTAAATACCATATACAGTACTAACTCATATTACCACCACCGGAGCTGGTAACAGTAGAACAGGCCGCATCTGTTCTCTGTAGTTACCTATGCACTTACAAGACCTCGGTTTGATCCCTGGATGGGAAGATCCCCTGGAGAATCCCAAGGACACAAGAGCCTGGCAGGCTACAGTCCATGGGGTCTCAAAAGAGTTGGACATGACTTAATGACTAAACCATTCCCATTGTACTCATAAATCATTCACTCCTGGAACACTGTATGTACAAATTGAGCATTTTATTATACAAATAAAAGCAGCATGCACTTATTCTCTATTTAAATACCATACACGAGATTTAAAATCACATTTAGCAGTGTCCTGCAGAATGCTCAATCAGACTTCACCCACATCACTTTGGATTTCTTGGTATATCTGCAAGAGAGAAAACCAGCTTAACAAGACTGATTTGAGTACAGTGTTAAGATTTTAGCAGCTAAAGCAGTTACAGTCTCTTCAGTTGGCTATTAAGTTACAAAAAGCCTGCACAATGTGCCAGTTCTGGTCTTCCAAATCCTTAGCTCTAAGGATTTGAGATACATAGAACAGGAACGTACCTCGTTATGCTTTCCGTCTTCCACTGGAACCATTAGCTCAGCTTCCTAGAAACATTTGAACAGTAGTTTAATGTTTGCCCAATAACCCAGCACACTGCAGGTTTTTAAAGTGAAGAATGTTACTTGTGCAAGTCAGAATCTGATACCAATTAAATGGTGACAGCTTTGCCAATAAACAAGAATATGCTCTTCCATGGCTAGGAAGGGAGACTGCCACAGCCGACAGGTCCCAAAGATACATGGAGGTTCATAATCCCAGAAAGGACCAGCAAAGGCAACTACAGACACTACTCACCACTTGGATCAAACCGTCAGGATGCGGTGTTGCTCTTCAAGAGTGGCAGAGTAACAAGATTCAAGATGGCCACATGGCACCGACAGTACAACGCACGAGCGCGGCGACTGACTTTGACGCATGCGCACACAGGCCCCTCCCCCTTCCTCAGTGCTCCGCCTTCCTCGCGCGTCTTCTGGATCTGCCCTGCTAGCGCGGTGGCTGACTTTGACGCATGCGCATACAGGCCCCTCCCCCTTTCTCAGTGCTCCTCTCTTCTCGCGCGTCTTCTAGATCTGCCGTGCTAGCGCGGCTTCTGAGTTTGACGCTTGCGCATTACAGAGTTCTCCCCAGAAGGAAATCCTTCAGATCTCGCGCGTACGCTGTGTGAAGAAGGTGAAAGGGTTGTGTTGTTTCTTGTATACTTTAAGACAGTTACCTTAGAAGTCGCTGTTACCAAAACGCCAGGTTCGATAGTTCTCTTCTTAACCTTTTGGTAGATTGATTTCTGTGGAACTACCTTTTTTTTCTCTGCTTAAAAAACTTCGTATCTCCCCTAAGTAAGGGTTAGTCGCTCAGTCGTGCCCGACTCTGTGACCCCATGACTGTAGCCCACCAGGCTCCTGTGTCCATGAGATTTTCCAGGCAAGGATACTGGAGTGGGTTAGCCATCCTTCTCCTGGGGATTTTCCCAACCCAGGGATCGAACCCGGGTCTTCTGTACTGCAGGCAGTCTTTACCGACTGAGCTACGAGGGAAGTCCATGGTTTCCTGTATTCCACTGAAATTACTGTTTCTGAGCGCAGGTGTTAAGTGGTCTACAATAAGTTATTTTGTTTTGTTTTTCGGGAGTCTGAGCTCTTAGGAGTATTTGTACTCATTTTTGAAAGGCTTGCCACACGAATTTGTACACAGAATAGGAGAAGACAACAGGAGCGTGAGGGAGATGCTTTTTCGTGCGTGTGTGGACATTTCGTCTGTTGCCCGCTCGCCCACAGTTTGTGGTCTACAGTTAGCGTCTCCAGAGCTGCTGCTGACTTTTGAAAGAGCGCACCTGGGTCTTAACATCCGTGACTTACGTTTCTTTAAGGGTGAAAGTAAAGCATAAATCTATTTTTTGTAAAAGGAAATTAAAGATATTTAGGAATACGTTTAGTCCTAGGCATGTGCATGGAGTAGGAAGTGGCAACCCACTCTAGTGTTCTTGCCTGGAAAATTTCATGGACCCGGGAGAGTCTGGCTAGCTGCAGTCGTTGAGATCCCAAAGAGTCAGCAGGACTGAGTGAGCACTTGTGCTTGTTAAATGTCACTGAAATGTATTTTCTGTTTTCCATTTTAGTTTTCGCCTCGTGTGAAACAAAAAGGTGGAGCTAGGTGAAGCTTTTACTTAGTAGTGGACAAGTTGGGGCACTGTGTTGCAGCAGTTGTCAGGCATACTGGTATCAAGACGTCTGAACTTTCCAGGTGGCTCAGTGGTAAAGAATCGTCCTGCCAGTGTAAGAGATGCAGGTTCAGTCCCATGATTGAGAAGATCCGTTGGAGAAGGAAGTGGCAACCTACTCCAGTATTCTTGCCTGGGAAATCCCATGGCCAGGAACCTGGTGGTCGATAGCCCATGGAGTCGCAAAGAGCTAAATAGGACTGAGTGACTAAATAACAACAATACCTGGTGAATAAAGTGCTACAAAAGAGATCCCTGAAGCTTCTTGAAATGGCTGAAATTAGAGTAAAATTTCTTGTTATGGTTAGGGCTGGGACTGGACAAGTTTATAAGGGCATAATAAATTTTAATTTGAAAGAGCTAGAGCTGTTCCTAAGGCTGACCTTATATCACTTTTTTTACCTTTACTCTTCATGTCAGTATTGAATGGAAAGAACTGTTGAATGACAATGCTTAAATTAGAAATCACAGAGGGGAATTTTGCCAAAATGGGTGTGATTTTTAGAATCTGTAACTGAGCATCTGTGTTATTTTGCTAAGGCTGATATGACAATATACCACATATTGGGTGGCTTAAACACCAGAAATTTGCTTTCTCACAGTTCTGGAGACAAGAAGTCAGATCAAGGTGTCCATAGGTTTGTTCTTCAGAGATCTCTCCCTGGCTTTAGATGACCCTGTTTCTTTACATCCTCTGCTCTGTGCTTATATCTTTTTTTAAACTATTTATTTTTAATTGGAGGCTAATTATTTTACAATATTGTGGTGGTTTGTGCCATACACTGACATGAATCAGCCATGGGTGTACATGTATCCAGGGCCCCCCCAGCCCGAGCCCCCCTCTGACCTCTCTCCCTATCCCATCCCTCTGGGTTGTCCCAGTGCACCGGCTTGAGTGCCCTGTTTCATGCGTGGAACTTGGACTGGTCATCAGTTTCATGTATGATAAAATACATGTCTTAATGCTATTGTCTCGAATCATCTCACCCTTGCCTTCTACAGAGTCCAAAACTCTGTTCTTTATGTCTTTTTTGTTGTCTTGCATATAGGGTCATCATTACCATCTTTCTAAATTCCATGTATATGCGTTAATGTACCGTATGGGTGTTTTTCTTTCTGACTTACTTCACCCTGTATAATAGGGTCCCCTTTCATTCACCTCATTAGAACTGACTCAAATGCATTCAATAGCTGAATAATATTCCTTTGTGTATATGTCCCACAACCTTCTAATCCATTCGTCTGCTGATGGACCTCTAGGTTGCTTCCCTGTCGTGGCTATTATAAACAGTGCTGTGATGAACATTAGGGTACACGTGTCTCTTTCAATCCTGGTTTCCTTGGTGTGTATGCCCAGCAGTGGGATTGCTGGATCGTATGGCAGTTCTATTTCCAGTTTTTTAAGGACTCTCCACACTGTTCTCCATAGTGGCTGTACTAGTTTGCATTCCCACCAACAGTGTAAGAGGGTTCCCTTTTCTCCACATCCTCTCCAGCATATATTGTTTGTAGACTTTGATAGAAGTCATTCTGACCGGTGTGAGATGGTACCTCATTGTGGTTTTGGTTTGCGTTGCTTTGATAATGAGTGATGTTGAGAATCTTTTCATGTGTTTGTTAGCCATCTGTATGTCTTCTTTGGAGAAATGTCTGTTTAGTTCTTTGGCCCATTTTTTGATTAGGTTGTTTATTTTTCTGGTATTGATGAACTGCTTGTATATTTTTGAGGTAAGTTCTTTGTCATTTGCTTTGATTGCTATTATTTGTTCCCATTCTGAAGGCTGTCTTTTTACCTTGCTTATAGTTTCCTTTGTCATGCAAAAGCTTTTAAGTTTAATTAAGTCCCATTTGCTTATTTTTGCTTTTATTTCCATTACTGTGGGAGGTGGATCATAGAGGATCTTGCTGTGATTTATGTCAGAGTGTACTGCTTATGTTTTCCTCTAGGAGTTTTATAGTTTCTGCTCCTACATTTAAATCTTTAATCCATTTTGAGTTTATTTTTGTGTATGGTGTTAGAAAGTGTTGTAGTTTCATTCTTTTACAGCTGGTTGATCAGTTTTCCCAGCACCACTTGTTAAAGAGATTGTCTTTTCTCCATTGTATATTTTTGCCATCTTTGTCAAAGATAAGGTGTCCATAGGTGCGTGGATTTATCTCTGGGCTTTCTATTTTGTTCCATTGATCTATAGTTCTGTCTTTGTTCTGTGCCTATATCTTTATAGCTTCTTAGAAGGACTCTAGTCATACTGGATTAGGGTCTGTCCTAATGACTTCTTTTAATTTTAATTACCTTTTTAAAGATCTTCAAGTATAGTCATATTATGGGGTACCAAAGGTTAGAACATCAACATAATGAATTATGGGGAGACTAAGCACCACCCATTTATGATAAGCTATGAAAATTTACTGAAGATCTTAAAATGAATGTTTCCATTGGGTTACAGTGCAAAAACACTGAATGAATGAGAAAGAGCTCTTATATTTTGTTTATGCTCTTTTCTCCATCTTGGATGTCTTTCCATCTAGTTTTTTTTTCCTTCCTGTAGTTGACATATTAGTTTCAGTTGTACAACATAATATCTGATATTTTTGTGTATATTGTGAAATCATCACCACAGTTAGTCTAGTTAATCTTCATCCTCATACACAGTTATAAAATTGATTTTTTTTTCCTTGTGGTGAGAAATTTTTATAGATTTATTTTCTTAGTAACTTTCAAATATGCAGTATAGTATTATTAACTGTAATCACTGTGTTGTACATTACATCCCCAGGACTTGCTTCATAACTGATAGTTTATAGTATGAGTCTATTGTTTTTTTTTATTCCACATATCAGTGGGATCATGCAATGTTTGTCTTTCTCTGATGTATTGAATTTAGCATGATACCTTTAAGATCATCTATCTTGTCACAAATGGAAAGATTTCATTCTTGTTTATAGCTTAATATTCCCATGTGTGTGAATACACCACATCTTTCTTCATTCATATTAATACATCAGTGGACACTTGGATTGTTTCCATATCTTGGCTATTGAAAATAATGCTGAAATGAACATGGCAGTACATATATCTTTTTGAGTTCATGTTTTTGTTTACTTTGAGTAAATACCAAGGAGTGGAATTGCTGGATCACACTCTATTTTTAATTTTTTTGAGGAATTCCTGTGTAGTTTTCCATAGTGGTTATACACCAGTTGCATTCCCACCAATAGTGCATGACAGCTCTTTTTTCTCTACATTCTTACCAACACTTGTTATTTCTTATCTTTTTTGATAATGGCCATTCTAACGTGTGATGTGATATCCCATTATATTTTTGATTTGCATTTTCTGATGTTAGTGATATTGACCATCTTTTTAGATGTCTCCAGGCATATAATGAGCAGATATTCTGCTCATTTTTTAATTGGATTTTTTTTCTATTGAGTTCTATGAGTTTTTATGTATTTTGGATATTAGCTTCTTATCAGGGTATATGATTTTCAAATATTTTTTCCTGTTCCATAAACTATCATTTCATTTTTGTTGATGGTTTCCTTTGCTGTGAGGAAACTTATTAGTTTTATGTAGTCCAACTTGCCTATTTTTGCTTTTGTTGCCTTTACTTTTGGGGTCAGGTTCAAAAAATCATCAGGTAGCTTACCACCTGTGTTTTCTCCTAGCAG